GAGCGGAAAACCCATGGCCCGAGCCTCCTCCAGCAGCCTGCCTCCGATCAGGCTGTCAAACGCCTTCCACGCATCCAGGAGCACCGTGACGCCGTGCCCTCCATTGATGGCCATGATCTCAGCCGTCAGGTTGCGATGGAACGCTGCTGCCGTCGAGGTCTTGCCAGCCCCACCAGTGCCCCAGAGATTTGGCGCGTCCGCTTGGTCGAGCCAGGCACGTGAAATCGTCGAACGCGCCTTCGCCCACATACGGAGGAAGGAGTTCACCAGGGCAATCAGCCTGCATCCTCCACTCGCCTTGGGCAGGCGAACCAGCACTGTGTACACCCTGTCCGTCGGCCACGCCCCCAGCTTTTCACACTGGCTGAAGAGCGCTGACAGCACGTAAAGGCCGATGTCGCTGAGATGCCACCACCGACTGCCAGCACGTCGGCCCTGTCGGGGCGATCGGGACGCCCCGCACCTGCTCGAGCCATGGCCCCTTCAACTCGTCCAGCTCCATGTTCCAGTCGCCCATGGCCACCCAGTCCAGCCCGCATGCGTTGAGCACCCTGAGGTAGCGCTGCAGCTCGTGGACCGTATCTGAGTTGTCGTCGCCCATGCCTACGGGGTGCCTCATGTAGACCACGACGACGATGAGCCCTCCCTTTACGCCCCAGTGCACGTGGCCCGCCAACACACGCGCCTCCTCCAGAACGTGGGACGGCATGAAGGGCGGCGCCGTCACGGGGATGACATTGCGCGTGAGGAGCGCGACGCCACCCGAGACATCCAGTGGGCCACTGCCTGTGGCCATGCCTGGGGCCCACAGACCATGGTATCCCAAGTCCTTCACCTGGCCTTGCAAGGAGCCCAACTTGTCGCCCAAGACACGATGCTCCTGCACGCCGAAGATGTCACCCTTCGGGTCGCCAGCGAGGTACTCGGTCAGCCCTCTCGCACATGAAACGTTGACCGTGGTCAACACGCCTTTGACAGCATCCGAACTGCCACCATGCTTTGTATTACCAGAAACTCCCATCATCATACTGAACAAGGTACTCCAGAAAACACCAAAGCTCGGCCCCCGACGCCTAGTAGGCACGATAGGCCCACGCACTGGCCGCTGCCGCGATCTGGTGCGCCTTTGCCCTGATATCCGCCTCCTCTGTGGGGGCCTTGAACCCTGCGGCCTCGATGCTGTCGCGCAGCTGCTCGAGTGGCGCCTTGTCGGCCACCGTGCGCAGTCTCTTGGCGTCGGGCGGTGCCGCCACCACGCCACCAGGATCCAGGTCGCCAGAAGGGCGCGCACGCGTCGCAGCCCTGGGGCCGAGCGACTCCGCGAACTTGGGGTGGGCCAGGAACTTCTCTGTGACCTCGCCCGACGCCCCCAGCTCCTTGAGCAGGTCGGCCAGGACGTCGAGGTTTGGCGCCCCGCCTGGGGCCCCTTCGGACTCCTTCGCATCTGGTGGCCTGGGCACCTGGGCACTGAGCACCCGCAACTGCTCCTCCAGCTCGGCCTCATCAGCACGCAGCTTGCTGCCCTTCTCGCGCTCGGCCTCCAGGGCAGCCTGCGCCATGGTGGCTGCCTCCTGCGCCTTGGCCACCGCCGCGTCCTGCTTGCTGATGGCGTCCTGCTTGGACTTGAGCTTCTTCTGGAGAGTGAGAAGCTGCGCGACCACTGGCTTCTTGGCACGCACCTGCTCTACCAAGACCTGCCGCTGGGCCGCGATCCTCTCGATCGTGTCGAGGATGTCTTTCCCTGGGTCGGAGATACTACGCAGCACACGGAGCTGGCCATCAAGATGTTCGATTTTGCGCTGCTCGTCTCCTCCATCTGTGCTCTCCTCACCCTCAGCGCCGCTGGGCGCCTCCGCCGCAGAGCCCTTCTTGCCCTCCGCCCGCAACGTCTTGAGCTCTTCGCGCAGCCTGGTGACCTCCCGCTGCAAGGCGAGGTGCTGCCCAGCGGCGCCTGCACCCCCACCAGCACCGGTGGTGCCACTGTGGCCACGGCGCAGCCCCTCCTCCCCTCGGACGTGGCCCAGGGAGGTGCGGTCCTTGGCGCCGCCGCGGAAGTGACATAGCTGCTTGGAACCGAACGTGATGCATGGCATCCCGATCTTGGGCCCGCGCTCATACTTGCAGAAACGGCAGTACCAATCAGGCTTGCCCTCGCCGCCACTGCCGCCTCGTCCTCCTGGCGCCATGGTTCCTCGCCTACTCTGGAGAGCAACGAGGCCAGCCACAGGGCTAGGAGAGGCGGAAGCAAAACTGTCGGGCGGAAACACCCTGGCACTGGCCGCGGACTAGCGGTATCCACGTGTTCCCCGGTGGAACAAAGCATCTTGAGCCAAAATGGCTACGGAGGAGGAGGAGGAGGAGGAGGAGGAGGAGGAGGAGGGGGAAGAGGGGGATGAGCAGGAGAAGGAGAAGGGGGAGGAGAAGGAGAATGATCAGGAGGAGATACCAGGAAGATCGAGGAGGAGGATCCAGCAGGAGACACAGGGCGTGGATCGAGCAGGGGATAGCAGGGGGAGGCGAGGGGAGGAGAGGAGCAGGAGACTCGAGATCCAGGACCCAGGTTCCTGCACGCCCTCGGCCTGGCCGCGCCGGCCTTCGCAGGCATCCCCGGAGGCCTCCCGAGGCGGAGCTCTCCCCGATCGAGGCGTGCGGGAGGTGCCCGGTGGCCTCGCCGCAGGGAGCCTGCATGGGTGGCGGGGCGCGCCGCCCCTCCCGAAGAGGGGCCCCCGGCGAGAGAGGGGGCGCGGAGGCCTCGCCGCGTGGTGGGCCCTGTGGCGGGGCTTCGGGGTGGCCGCGCGGCCCCTGGGGGCCCGGGCCCGGCCCCCCGAGGAGGGGGCGACGAGGCGAGGCGCCAGAGTCGCCCCGGAGGGCGGCCCCGAACTATATATTATATATATATATATATATATATATATATATATAGAGAGAGAGTATTTTATATTATATTATGTCATATTATTTTATGGTTTATCATATTGTGTTATATTATGTTGTATTATATAATATTATATTCGATTCTATTCTGTTCTATTCTATTCTGTTCTATTCTATTATATATTATTTTATTATATTGTATTATATTATATTGTGTTATATTATATTATATTGTATTATATTTTATTATATCATATTATAGTATAGTATATAATATTATATTATATTATATTATATTTGATTATATTATATTATATTGTAGGATATTATAGTATATTATATTATCAGATATTATATTATAATATATTATTATATTATATTATCTCATATTTTATTATAGCATATCATATTGTATTATATTATACTATATTATATTATATTATGACATACTATACCATACTATATTATACTATATTATATCATATTTTACTATATCATATCATATTATATTATATGATATGATAGTATATTATATCATATTTTATTATATCATATTATATTATAATTTATTATATTATGTTGTTTTAAATTATATTATATTATATTATATTATATTATATATACAGGAGCGCAGCGGGGGCGCCAGAGCGCCCGGGGTCACTCCGAATCTGGGCGCTCTGGCGCCCAGGAAGCACACTCGGGGGTGGACAGAACCCCCAGCAGTGACACGTCGATTCGTGAATCGTCGGTTTGCGGTTCTCGAGAGGGCGGGCCGTTATCTCCCAGGCTTGCGCCCGCCAGGTTTGGGCCTCAGGTCGTTTTCACTAAACCACGTTTTACCAAAGGGGGGTCTGTCCATCCCCGATACACACGATTCATTTCTAAGTCTTCAAGCATTATTTGATTTTTTGGGGGGCCGCGCTCCTTTCATTTCTACTTGTTCTATCCTGGGCCTCTTCCTGCCCACTATAGGGGGCCAGGAACAATTGGGAACGAGCACAACTAGAAATGAGCACGACTAGAAATCATCGACGTGGACGCTTCATCTGGATTGCACCAGGGAAAAGCCCCAATCAGTGAATGGTTTGAAATGGGATCGGTGAAGATGAAGAGATCGATTAGGAGATCGACCGGGAACCCGGGAACCCGGAACCCACCGATTGATCGGCCCGGAGCCAATAACCAGGAACCCGGGAACCCGGAACCGGGAACCCGAGAGCTCCGCCGGCTACCAAAATCGGCGGGTAATTTTCGTCAAATTTTTCAATTTCCGTTGGGACCCCGTCAGTGCAGGCACTGATTGGGGAGTCACTAGGTGTTTGAGAGGAAGGGGAGGGGGTCGAGGAGGCGGAGGAAGAGGAGGAGGAGGAGGAGGAGGAGATGGAGGAGGCGGAGGGGGAGGAGGCGGAGGACGAGGAGGCGGAGGGGGAGGAGGCGGAGGACGAGGAGGAGGAGGAGGAGGAGGAGGAGGAGGCGGAGGCGGAGGCGGAGGAGGGCAGCGACGAGGATGGTATGGATGATGATAACAGGACGAGTTTGGAGGACGGGGCGTCGGATGGTAGCAGTGATGTGCGCAGGAAGCGGGTGCGCTGCCCCTGGGAGATGCTGCCGGATCGCGGCCTCCGGGAGCCCCCCGCCCTCCGGGGGGAGCTCCTCCAGCGGCGGACGCCAGCGCGCGCCGGGGCGAGGCGGAGGGAGGAGGAAGAGCGGCAGCGGGGGACGAGCAGAGCGCGGGGGATCGAGGAAGAAAAGAGCACAAAGACATACAGTCGGGGCCCTGAAGAAGGAACCCTTTTCGTTGGGGAGGGGCTCGGTGTTCCTTGCTTGTTCTGCAGTGTACCTTCGGTTCTCCTGAGGTTTCCCATGGGAAATCGAAGTTCAACTTATGAGAGAAAGGGGCCTCGTTCCTTATTTAGGGTTCCTTAGGTCAACGCCCCGACTGTAAACTGTTGGCGCTCCGCGCGGGATTCTTGGATCTGCGCTGGGCCCCCTTGGCGGCGCCGCCGCGCGCCAGGGAGGGGGGTCCAGCGCAGATCGAAGAAATCCGCGCGGCGCGCCAGAAGTTTATGGTCATGGCGTTTTTCCCTATTCCAGGGGAGCGGAAGTAGGAGCAGGAGAAGTCTCCGAGCCGCTTCGGCTCAATTACGGAGGAGTCGCCCTTTGGGCTCGGCTGGGCCAGTCCAGCGTGCCAGCCGCAATGGATACGACAGACGTGCTCGGAGACTACCATGAGCACATCGACGACGACGCCTTCCTCTGCTGCCCAGTCCCCCACAACAGCAGCGTGGCAGGCGTGATCATGAAAAACAGGCTCGACAGGCTGCATAATCTCTCGGTCAAGAACTTGCACCTGTCGATCGTGTGCATGATGTACATTGGCGTCAACGTCGTCTGCATCACCTTGAACAGCATGAGCGAGGAGGGTCGGGAAGCGAACGAATTGGTCTTCCACCTGCTCGAGTTCTGGGCGACCTTTGTCTTCTCGGTCGTGCAAGTGTATTCGCTCACCTTTTCCCCGCGTAGCCTCGGCGCTGTTTATAGTAACCCTTTGGTCCTCAAACTGGTCGTCTTCTTCAACGTGGTGGCCACTTTCATATCGGCGCTGCTGGTAACTGTCAGCCTTGAGAGCTTCGAAGCCCCGTCGCACGAGCTGGAGTATTTCAACGAAATAACCATGGCTTTTGTGGACGTCGTCCTGTTTGCGGTAGTTGTCAGACAGGCCGGGAACTGCTCCACCCTTCTCACAACACTGGTCGCCCTTGTGGTTGCCGTGGTGCAGCTGCTCATCTACAACCTGCTCGACGGGCCCGGCGGAGGGTTCGGCGAGCAGTTGGCCCACTTCTTCGAGTTCGCCTTCGAGATCTCTAGCGCCTTCATCTCGGCGGCGCGGCGAGAGGGGAAGCGAGAGGGGGCCGGCCCTCCCCAGCAGGCGGCGGGGCTTTTCAGAAGCTCAGAAGCCCTCTGACCCTCTGTGGATCTCCTAGGTGCTTCGCAGAGGGTTTCTGTTGCTTGTTTTTGTCATACTTATGTTATGGGCGTGTCTTACTATCATCATTGCTGCTTTTTAATACTGCGTACTATTGTTCTCATGTGTCACTCTCATTACTCAAATCATGATTCGTCTCGTTACTCTTAGTTTTCTGAGTCTCCTCCTTCCTACACCTTAAGCGATGCTTAAGAAAACTCAATTTTTCGGCCAGAGTCTCGATTATTCTTAATGTTTCAATGTAACTCCTAAGATTTGAATGGAAATTGTGGGTTTTTATTCAAGTTCTGAGACTATGAATTTCTTAACCCATGATTTCTTAAGCATTTCGCAGGGTGTACTACTTTTTGGGCAGGGGGGAGAGCAAGCCTCAGGAGGCCCGAGGCCTCTCGGAGCCTGCGGGGGAGGGCCGCCGGGCCGCCCTCTGCACTGGCCCCCCCCCGCCTCGCGCGCCGCCGGCCCCTCTCCTTCTCCTTCTGCTGGGACAACAAGGTCGACGGGCTTGTTTCCCACCGCCACCACCACAAGTTGGAGGGGGAGGGGGTCCTCCTCCTCTTCCTCCTCCTCCTCCTCCTCCTTCTCCTCCTCCTCCTCCTCCTCCTCCTCCTCCTCCTCCTCTCCGTCCTCCTCGTCCTCCTGCCCTTTCCCCCCTCGAACTCATGGTGGTGATGGTGGACGACAGGCCCACCAGAGGTCCTGTGCGACCGGAAGATCAAGCTGCTGCTGCGGAAGCAGCAGGGGGCCTCCGTGTGCGCCGCGCAGGCCGCCGGGGGGCAGGCCGCGGGCCCCGGAGCCGAGGCGGGAACGTAGACACGACCACCGCCCGGAGGGTCCGTTTCCGGGGGCCTCGGCAGGCGGTGGATGTGCACATATCTTCGGGCCCCCAGGGGCCGATATATGTATGTATGTATGTATGTATGTATGTATGTATGTATGTATGTATGTATGGATGGATGGATGGATGGATGGATGGATGGATGGATGGATGGATGGATGGATGGATGGATGTATGTACGTATGTATGTATGTATGTATGTATGTATGGATGGATGGATGGATGTATGTATGTACGTATGGATGGATGGATGGATGGATGGATGGATGGATGGATGCATATATATATGTATATATATGTGTATATATGTATAGATACAGATGTACACAGACACAACATCCACTGCCCGCTGGGGCACCGGGACGTCGGTTCCCAGGCGGTGGGTATGGATGGCTCCCTGCCTCGCACAGGAGCGGGTGCGGTCCCGTGATCGCTGGCCATGCGCCAGTGGCGGGGGGGGCTGGTCTCCGCCAGGCCTGCATATGGGGGCCCAGCTCCGGCGGCGCGCAGAGACGGGGCGGGCCGATGAGCGGCTCTCGGTGCGCGTCGTCGCTCTGCGCCGGCTGGGGCCGCGAGGTCGCTGCGGCTCTCGCTGCGCCGGCATCGGCCGGGGGCCAGCCGGCGCGGGCGCTTCGGTGTGGATTCGATGCGGGGCGGCTCGCTGTCGATCAGAGCCCCGAATCATCAGGGGTAACTCGGGCCAGGGATAGCTCGGGTTCGTTTTTCGGGAATCCGAACCCGAGTTGCCTCGGACCCGAGTTACCCCGGATAGCTCGGGCGCCCAAGTCGATGCGATCCAGTTCCGACCCGAGTCGGCTCCGCGAGGCGACGCGGCCGAGGCCTGGCGGCCAGGGCCCCGGAGGCCAGGACCTTGCCACCGAGGGGTTCTAGGAGGGGAGCAGGCATACAGACACACACATCGTCGTCGATTCTCAAGAACATGGGGTAACATGTGGGAAGTCGGGGGGAAGACGAAAACCCAGACAATACGAAAAACTATATGGGTAATCCTGGTATTCGTGTCTATTGGTTTGTGTGTCCCACGGCCCCTTCGAACTGGTCGAGCTCCAGCTGGAGGAGACGGGAAGGCAGGGTGTGTCGGCCCACGGCTGCTGGGCCCCCCGGGCGGCGCCTCCGGCGCCGCCCTTGGCGCGCTCCGCGCGCCAGGGAGGGGAGTCCAGCGCAGATCCGGGAAATCAGCGCGGAGCGCAAAAGGTTAATGTTTATGTTGTTTTCTCTTTTCAGAAAAGGCAGGGTGCTACTTCCGAAGAAGAAGAGTTTGCATCATCATTGCTATTTTCTGAGGCTGGCGCGGATGCCTTGAGTTGGTGCTGGACCCTTTGGTGGCGCATTTGTCGCCGCCGCTGTCGCGCTCCGCGCGCCAGTGAGCGGAGACCAGTGCCGATTCGAGAAATCCGCGCGGACCTCCGAAAGTTTCTGACCATGCGCTTTTGTTATCTTCTTGTCATTATTGAGTCGCGGGGGCTGTTGAGAAGGCTTCGCGGGACCAGCGCAGCAGACCACAGCAGCTCGGCAAGCCAGCGCGGCAGATCGCAGCAGCACTGAGCATGGCAGACCAGCACAGCAGATTGCCAAAAGTGCGGCGCACCAGCACGGCAGACGCACAGCAGCAGGGCTCAGGCCCCTCTGGCCTTCTCGAGAGACCCCCCCTCGCGCCCCGCCCCTTCTCTTCTGCGCGCCGCCGGTCAGCCTGCGCTCGCGCTCGGCGAGCGAGCCGGACTGGTTCGTCAGGATTCCGCGGGAGCATTTCCTGGCTTTCTTCGGCGACCCGTCGTACCGGGGGAGTGCTTTTTGTTGTGTGTGTGTTGTGTGTGTGTGTTGTGTGTTGTGTGTGTGTGTTGTGTGTGTGTGTGTGTGTTTGTGTGTGTTGTGTGTGTGTGTTGTGTGTGTGTTGTGTGTGCGTGTTGTGTGTGTGTGTTGTGGTGTGTGTGTGTTTGTGTGTGTGTGTGTGTGTGTGCGTGTGCGGGCTGTGGCGGATGCGCACTTCACGAGCTCTGGCGCAGCTTGGGCATTTTTGCCGTCGTCCAGCCGCCAGAGCTGGTGGCAACGGCTCTCGGTCCCACAAGGGGGCCGCCAGAGCCCAAGTCTGCTTCCCTCCACCAGCCCTCTACCCTTCCATCCTTCTAGCAAGTACTCCTCCCCTCCCCACCCTTCTGCTCGTCCTCCTCGTCCCCCCCTCCCCCTCCCCCTCCCCCTCGTCCTCCTCGTCACTCCTCGTGCTCCTCGTGCTCCTCCCTCTGCTCGTTTTCCTCGTCCTCCTCGTACTCCTCCCCTCCCCCTCGTCATGCCTGCGATACCTGCGTGTCGCCCGGCATCTTCTTGGCCTCAGGAGGACGCCGCTTGTCTAGAGAGCATGGTTGAAGGGGTGTGTTTCGTTCGGCCGCAGTTGTGGAGACTTGCCCTGCTTGGGCTGGGACGGCGCGGCCGCTTCAGCACGGTCGCATCGGTTATGGCTTCACGCGCGCGTCGAACAAGTTAGCCCTTCCTTCCGTTGGGCCTATTAGCGTGTTGTCGCCTCATCTTCGTATGGTCGCATGGTCTCCTGCCCACACCGTTGACTTCGCAAGAGCGGGCCTGGTGTTAGCAGGCGAGGAGGGGCAGCAGACATGGGGCAGCGACCGCGTCCTCCGTCCCCGCGTGCCCTTGCAGATTGTATCTCCAGTGCAAGGGCGGTCAGGAACATTAGGCTTTCACCTCATCTACGGGTCCCTTCGCGTTGTGAGTGCGCGGTTGGCACGTGCAGACCTTGACGAGGAGCCACGAGCGAGTTCAGGAGCTACGCTTCAGACGGATGTTGAGGAGGAACATGCAGCTGGAGGAAGAGGAGGATGAGGATGAGGATGGGGAGGAGGAGGAGGAGGAGGAGGAGGAGGAGGAGGAGGAGGAGGAGGACGAGGAGGAGGAAGAGGAGGAGGAGGAGGAGGAGGAGAAGGAGGGCGGATGGGAACGAGTAGAAGGAAAAACTTGGTGAAGTACATAGAAGGGGAGCGCGAGGATAACCTGTTGCAGTGACTGCAGGGTGTCGTGGGACACATGCGTGCTTTTCTTTCCTGGCCTGGGGGCTCAGTTTGGGTATGTTGAGCCGACTGGGGAGCCTCATTGGGCTTTCTTGTGCCCCTTTCTTGGTGCACTGTGTGGGGGCCGTTTCGGGCCCGATGCAGGCCTTTTGGGCCGCTTCGGGGCTCTATTACAGCCATTTTTGAGGCATTGAAAAGTTATCGGGCCACTGGTGGGCCGCCTTGGGACATCTTGAGCACTCCTGACCTCTCGTTGGGCCGATACGTCGGGGAACAGTATGGAAGCAGTTTGAATTTCCATCAGCGCTGGCTTCAGATAGGAGCTTGCGGGGTACAGGTTCGCCGATTAAGCGCTCAATGTGGGTATGCTGCATTCAGATAAGAACAGGCGCCCAATTTGGGCATGCGCTTCTCAGCCTGAGCGCGTGCAAGTTGTTCCGTTCATCCCTTGCTCTGCGTAGTCTTGGAAGGCACAGGATGACCGCAGGCTACCCCCGCGGCGCCATGGGACAAGCTATCGGAAGCAAAGGACCGTTCTATTGTACTCGACCCTGCTCCTACTCGGACTCGTTTCTTCTCGACTCGCCTTGTCCGGCTCTGCTAAATTCACACTTTTCTAGCTGTTCGGAGCTTCTGGATTGGCAGACGGAGCCATAGGATCACTCCACCATGTGCCGCCACTCTACTTCACGGAGCCAGCGATTTCCTTTCGGAGCTGTCGGATTAGTTTTATCAGTTTGTAGAAAGGCAACACTGAACAGGCCAGGTCAGTTGCAACAAGTTGTTTCTTCACGAGGCCACAGCATTAGCCAATATCCTTCCAAAGCGCAAGCAAAGAAGGAGGCCATATTCTTTGACATGCCTTACAAGACGAATGATATCTCCTCGCAAGAGAGGGCATGCTCGACGTGAGTCGGGCTCGTACGGCCACATGTGACCAACGGGCCCCTGGAGTGAGCACTGAGGGGCAGCAGATGTATTTCATGTGCGCGTAGACGGGGACGTGCAGGTCCAACGTAAAGGCCCAACGTAAATACCCAACGTAAAGATCAAACGTGCAGATCCAACGTGAAGAGCCAACGTGCAGATCCAACGTACAGGTCCAACGCATGGGTCCAACGTCAAGATCCGACGTAAAGATTTCCAACGCAAAGGTCCAACGTGAAGAGATCCAACCTAAAGAGAACAAATGCAAGGATCCAGTGCAAAGATAGAACGTAACGAGATTCAAAATCAAGAACTCCAACATAAAGAAACCCACCGCAAGGGTCCATGGCAAAGATCCAGCTCAAGGATCCAAAGTAAAGATCCCGCGTCCATATATATCCTACGTGAAGATCCAACGCAAGGACCAAACGTAAAAATCCAACGCAATTGTCCATTGAACAGATCCAACGTAAAGAGATCCAGTGTAAAGCGACCTAGCATAAGGGCACCCTGCGCAACGACATCCAACGCAAAGTCCAGCGTGCAGATCCAACGTAGAGATGCCCACCGTAAATATATCCAACGCATAGATATCGAACGCGAAGATACCCAGCTCACAGAGATCCCACGTGGAAATATCCACCGCGAAAGTATCCAACGCAAAGATGTCCAGCGTGAAAAGACCCAGCGCGAAGAGAGCCAACGTAGAGGGGGCCCAACGCATAGAGACCCAACGTGAAGAGATCCAATGCGAAGAGATCCAGGGACAAAGGTTTTCAACGCAAAGAGATCCAGAGTAAAGAGATCCATCTCGAAGCAATCCAACGCAAAGAGACCCGGCGCAAAGCGACCCGGCGTTAAGAGATCCAACGCGCAGGGGCCCAACGCAAGGAGCCCCGACGTTGAGAGATCCAACGTAGAGGGATCCAACGTAAAACAGGTCCAACGTAGAGAAATCCAGCGTCGAGGTACCCCACGTAGAGGCACTCCGCGTTTAGACGTCCAGCGAAGAGAGATCCAGCGCAAAGAGACCCATCACAAAAAAACAGATTTAACGCCAAGATATCCAACGCAAGGAGATCCAACGCAAAGAGACCCTGCGTAAAGAGGACCAACGCAAAGCGAGCCAACGCAAGGACATCCAACGGAACAAACCTAACGCAAAGAGGTCCAACGTCGCGGGGCCCGACCTCCAGGCGCCCAACAACAAAATCCAATGCGGAGTGACCCAACGCGCGCGCATCAAACGCAGAGAGATCCAGCGCGAAGATGCCCAACATCGAGAGATCCAACGCAAGGGGGCCCAGCGTAATGATACCCCGTGTAAGAAGGCCCCGCGCGGAGTGACCCGACGCGGGGAGGCCCGGCGCGCAGAGATCCAGCGCGGGGGGATTCCGCGCACAGAGACCCAGCAAAAAGAGATCCCACGCAGAGCGATCCAACGCGAAGGGGCACAGCGCAAAGAGATCCAACGAAAATGCATCCGACGCCAACGGATCCAGCGCACGGGGGCCCCACGCAGAGAGGTCCAACGAAAAGAGGCCCAACGCGGAGATGTCCAACGCAGAGAGGCCCAGCGCCAACAGATCACGCGCAAAGAGGTCCAGCGCAGTAAGGCCCAGCGCAAAGCGACCCAACGCAAAGGGGCCCCACGCGCAGAGATCCGACGCGAAGGGGCCCAGCGCGAAGAGATGCAACGCGCGGCGGCCCAGCGCGGAAGGGGTCTAACGCAAGGGGGGGGCGGGGTGGGGGGGTGGGGGGGGGGCGGGCGCAGAGATCCAGCGCGCGGATGTCCAGCGCGCGAAGAGATCCAGCGCGAAGAGATCCGCCGCGCAGAGATCCCACGCAGGAAGACCCAGCGCAAAGAGAGACCCCACGTAGAGGTCCAGCGCAGGGGCCCGCCGCCGAGGCCCAGCGCTGAGATCCAACGTGCAGATCCACCGCAGAGGTCCAACGCAAGGAACCGCCGCGAAGATCCAACGCAAAGATCCAACGTGAAGATCTGCGTGAAAACATGCAGATGCCACTCGGGGATCGAAACGCGGGGGGCCCAGGCGCACGCGGGCCCGCTGCATGGGCCCGACGCAAAAACCCAACGCAAGGAACCAGCGCAAGGGCCCAGCGCAGAGATCCAACTCAAGGGCCAAACGCGCAGATCCCCCGCGCAGGGGGCCAGCGCAGAGAGATCCAGCGCGCAGCTCTGCGCAGGGAAAAAAAGAACCCAAACATTGATTTCGTTTTGCGGCCCGAAGCGAAGATCCAACGTGAAGGCCCGGCGTCAAGACCCAATTTGATGACCCCATGGAAAGACAAACGCAAGGGCGCAATGCAACAATCCAACGCAGAGGTCCTGCGTAAATCTCCAGCGCAAAGACCCAGCGCGAAGGCCCGCGTGAAAAATGCAGATCTGTCGGAGCGACCCGGATCCAACGCGCAGAGCCAACGAAAGGTGGAGCGCAAAGATCCAACGGACATGTCCAACGCGCAGACCCATCGGAAAGATCTAACGTAAAGATTCATCGTAGAGATCCGACGCAACGATCCGGCGTGAAGATCCAACGCAAAGATCCAACGCGCCGGTCCAACGCAAGGGCCGAATGTTAGGATCCAGCGGGAAGATTCACGGCCAGGGCTATTCCCGCGCCAAAATTCAAACAAAGAAGGAGATCAATGTGATAATGCAACGTAACAACCAAACGTGCTAATTCACCGTCAGAGCCGAGGGTCAAACTTGGAGTGGCAACATCCAACGTAAAGTCAACATTCTTCGCGAAAAATGCCCAAAGTAAGGTCAAACGTAAAAGCCTGGCGTCAAAATGCAATGTCACTATCAATTTGCAAGCCAAGCGCGCAGATCCAACGTTCAGATCAGACGCAGAGATCCAACGTAAGGTTCCAGAGTGAAGTTCCAACGTGCAGGTCCAGCGAACATTATCGCACAGATCCAACGTGCAGATCCGACGCAAATACTCAACGTAAAGATCAAACGGAAAGGTAGAAAGCAAAGATCCAGTGCGCAGATGATTCCCGCGCAGAGAGTTTCAAACCAGAGCCCAATGTGAAAACCCAATGTAAAAATCGCGAACATGCAACGTAATAGCCCGGGGTCAAGCATGAAATGAAGGCACCCAAGCGTAAGACAAACACGGCGCAAACACATTCGTCTAACAAGAACCGACGTATAAATTTGGACGTCACGAAGTATAACGCAACAGTACGACGCAGTCCTAAAAAAGACGGCGAAAAACTCCGACATGGAATTCTAACGTAAAAATCATAATTGCTAACCCAACGTACACATCCATTGTAAAAGCCAAACGCGCAAAGCCAACGTGCAAACCCAACGTGTAGATCCAATGTGCAAATCCAACGTAATATCCACTGGGAAGGTCAAGTGCAAAGATCGAGCGTGCAAATTCAACGTACCGGCCCAACGTACAGGTTAAACGCAAATCAGCAAAGTAAAAATTCCAGCGTAAACTTTGAAAGTCAAGTTTCCACGCAAAAATCGAAGCCAATAACCCAATGTGCACAAACCAACGTAAACATCCAACGTGAATGACCGCGTCCGGCGTACAAAAAAAACAAAGTCTGTTAAACACCTTCACGTAAAATTTGGTGTAAAACTTCGACAGTTCGACGCGAAAATAAAAAATAGAGAGCGGCGCGACAATCCGACATTGAAACCGAACGTGCGAATTCAACGCACAAGTCAAACGTAGAAATTCAACGTGAACACCCAACGTCAAAATCACACGTAAAGATCCAGCGTAAAACATCAAACGTAAAAATTCAACGTAAAGACCAAATACAAAGAGCCATCGTGAATTTCAAACATGAAGATTCCAACATAAAATGCAACGTAAACGTGCGCTTACAGCTGAGAGGTCAATGTGCGCTTGCAGCGTACCGTCAGCGCGTATGGCGCTGAAGGGAACACTTCGGCAGCAAATCGCGGGATCCTGGCATATCCACTTCATTCCGTATTTTGCGTCGACTCGCGTCGATTCGCGTTTGGGAGCCGATGAGATAGCAATTATTTAGCGTCGACTAGCGTCGATTGGCGTCGACTATTGTCGATTCGTGTCGAGCCGCAGGAGCCGACAAGACGAAATGGGAGGCACCCGTGAGCTGCCACCGAAAAACACTTGCCTGGCAACGAACAGCAATGACGCCGGGGCCACGAGTGCAATGGCCAGTGCCAGTGCACAATTTCCAAACTTCCGTGTGCGAGGCGCTGGCGCCGGAGGGCCGTTTTGGGTCAGGTGTGGGGAGGATCTGGCATCTAGGGCGCCGTATGTGCGTTGTGTGTGATCTCGTCCTCCGCTTCCGCATCCTTGATTTCAAGCTATGCATCTTCCCCCCGTTTCCGTAGCAGTTTTGGTTGGAGCCATAATGTCTCAAGCTGTCCAGGTCTAGGCCCTCGGATGGTGGGCGTCCAGCCAGCGTCCATCTATTTCCACAAGCAGGCGACAGAGGCAGGGCGCCTTCCAAACCTTGGAAGTGCCCGTGCCGTCGCGCGCTCTGCAAGGCGAGCGCGAGTTTGAGTTCAACCAAGAGTTCGTGAAGAGGCTCGAGCAGGAGGACCTGAGGGTCGCGGTGTACCAAGTTTGCCAGCGGTTCTGCAAGTGGGTTATCGACCGGAACGACCTCACCGACAGTGTCGCCAGGTACCCGGAGGGCTACCAAGCCACCGTCACGTTCAACTGCATCGGGGGTCAGGAGCTCTCGGGCGAGATGGCCGGCGACCGGAGGGATGCCGAGAAGAGCGCCTCGCGGCAGATCCTGGAGTTCTACCAGGATTAGATGGCGAGCATGCCAAAAGAACCGAAGGAGAAGAAAACCCGCGGGGGCGCATGGAAACACCCTGGCCTGGAGCCAGCGGACCCAGAGAAGTTCGGCCCGAAGCAGATCTTGTACGTGACGGTCTCGAGGATCCTCAAGCGGACGATGGACAAGGACGAGTGCATGTGCGGCGAAACGCAGCAGGCGGACGGCGGCTATACCAGTCCATGCTCCGGCTGCTGGGCCTCCCGGGCAAGTGGGGCCTCATGACCTGGGCCAGGGAGGTGGGCTACAGGAAGAAGGCGGCGGAGCGCGGCGGAGCAGGGGAGGAGGAGGAGGAGGAGGAGGAGGAGGAGGAGGAGGAGGAGGAGGAGGAGGAGGAGGAGGAGGAGGAGGAGGAGGAGGAGGAGGGCTGGCGGCGAGGCGTGCTGCACTGGAGGCCGCAGGGCCGGGAGCGGCACCCGCCGGAGGCTCGGCGGCACGTGCCAGTGGCCCTTTGCGCAGGAGCGGCCTCCCTGACCTTCCAGGAGGGCTTAAAAAATTGCACCCGACGTAAAAACCGATCCCAGAGCTATTTGACGTCTTGGCTTCAGGCTGTTTCGTCTCGTTTTTTAGGTTTCTAGGTTTCCAGGGCTAAAGCATAGCTCTCTGGAAGGCCAGGGCTCTGGTGCGCGGCCTCCGTGGGGGAGGGGGGGCGGGGAGGGGCCGGGCCAGGCACGCGGCCCGCCGCCGTCGCGCCGCATGCACCGGTGGTCGGCACGCCGCGCGCGGCGGGGCGCTCGTCGTGCAGGGCCACGCTGCCGCGCGCGCGCAGCGCCGAGGGGAGCGGGGCGGGGATGCGCTCTGGAGCGGAGGGCGGAGGGGCATAAAACGACGCGAAGATCGGGACAAAATCGGATCGGGATAACTCGGAATCTCTGAGAGTCGGCGGGTTTGGGGGACGTATTGGGCGCCGCGGCCGCTCCCGAGCGTTCCGGGACGCTCTGAGAGCGCCCCGGAACGCTCTGGAGCGAGTTATCCCGATCCTAGCCCTGTTGTAGGGCAGCAGACTGGGGCGGGCAGGCACGGCAGTGGGCCTGGTGTCGAAGTCGTTGCATCGGCGTGCACTGTCGGAGGCCCGCGCGGATCTCCTGGATCGGCACGGGTCCACCCCCGGCGGCGCCTCGGGCGCCCATGGAGAGGGGTCCTGCCCCGATCCCAGCAGTCCACCCAGACCTCCGACAGCGCAACCATGGCGAGCCCTGTCCTGTCACGATCGGGTTGCCAGCAGACTGGATTGGAACGGCGCGTCGAAGGGCCAGCATGCCAGAGGCCAGCAGATCTCGGCCTGGGGAGGCAGCGGCGCGAGGGCGCGGGCGGGGGAGGACGAAGGCGAGGGCGAGGACGGCGGCGGCGGCGGCCACGACGGCGAGTACGGATGGGGAGGGGGTGGAGGGGACGACGGCGACGAGACCGAGGGGGGGGGACGACAGCGACGACGGTGAGTCCCGAGGGGGAGATGAGAGGGCCAGAGCGCGAGGTGCCGTGAGCCCACGGCCTCCGCTGCGCCAGAGACTCTCTGCGAGCGCCGCCCTCGAACGCTGCAGCGGAGCGGCCGCGGCTTCAAGAGAGAGCCTGTGCTTGCAAGGTGCGCCTGCGTCTTGCACTGCCTATGCCGCTGCCCCGTCAGCCCCCACCCCGCCCCACCTCCCCTCCCACCCATAAGGGAACAAAAAGTGACATAAACATAAAAATTCAGAGGTCCTCGCGGATTTCTCGAATCGGCGCTGGGGCCCCCCGGCGGCTCCTCCGGCGCCGCCCCTGGCGCGCTCCGCGTGCCAGGGAGGGGGGTCCAGCGCAAATCCGAGAAATCCGCGCGGACCTCCGAGTTGTTATGTTTATGCCACTTCTTGCTCCCCTAAAACCCACCCCCCTCGGGGCCCATCAGCCGTAGGCCTCTCAGAGAGCTCGAGTTTCGCGAGGGCCACGGCGTGTCGATCGAGACCTCGTGCCGAGTTCCGCCGCCGCCGCCGCCGTCCATTCCCCTCCCGCTCCCTTCCCCTTCCGCTCCCTCCCCCGCTCTGCCCCACCCCGCCTCTGCCCTCTCTCCCCCCCCCCTCTCGTCATCCCCCTCCCCCCCTGCCCTCCCTCCACCGCCCCCCCCCCCCTCCACCGCCCTGCCCCCCCCCCCTCCCCTCTCCTCCACCGCCTCTGCCCTCCCTCCCCCCCTCTCTCGTCGTCCCCCTCCCCCCTCGCCCCTCTCCTCCACCGCCCTGCCTCGGCCCTCCGTGCTCCTCCCCCCCAGACTGCCTCGTCGCGCCAAGGGGCTCACCACGCCCGAGTTGGCTCCTGTGGGGTCGAGCTCCGGCGGGAGCTTCCCTGCAGGACCGCCTCCGCGTGCCCTCTGCGGCTCGGAGGTGCACGGCCTGCCCTCCAACGCCGAAGGGCGGCGGCTGCAGGTCTCGGCGGCCAGTTGCGTGCAGCCCTCGTCGGGCTCGCGCTCGAGCGCTGCGGCGCTCCGGCCTGGTACGGAAGCGCGGCGCCTTGTGTTCAGGCACGCGAGGGGAACTTGGGCCAAACAAGATTGCATCCCCATGTCGTCCCCCGGGCCGATCTTCGGGATTCCTGAGCGGAAGTGGTTACTCGAGTCGGGCCTGGCGAGGGGTAGTTGGCCCATGCAGTGCTATGAAGCTGTCCCTGGAACGTCTTGGGTGGTCTATGCCGTGGCGGTGACTTCCTCTTGGACGGTCACTGAGCTGCTTCGGTAGACTTTCAGTCGTACGCGTGTCTCTGAGTCTTGGGCCAAGTTGATGAAGAGTATCCCTGGGGCCCGAGCGTTCAATGATGCTATTGCTGCTGAGGATGGGTCTACTCGAAAGACCCCACGCCAGAAGGGATGTGTCGAGGTCCTGTCGTATTTCGAACAAGAAACTGTATATATATACACATATATATAGAACTATAGGTCTATGTATCTATACTTATACATATATATATATATATACATCAACTTGTGGCGCTCCGCGCGGATTTCTTGGATCCGTGCTGGGCCCCACCTGGTGGCGCCTCCGGCGCCGCTATGGCGTTTCTTTTGTTCGTTCTTCGAGCAGTCTGCCACGGACGTGGTCACAGAGGCCTTGCTGCACGATCCCGGATCATTCCTCGCAAGCAGCAGGACGTGCGCGGAAAGAGAGCGAGGGCCGCCCGTCCCATTTGCGTCGGCGGCCAGGGGTCGGGGCGGCGCGCCCGCGCGGGATGGGGGCAGTCGCGCGGGGTCGCCATTCGACCCTGGACCTGCGTAGCTCCAGCTGAAGCGCGGGCTCGCGGTCTCTGCAGGGATGCGGAAGGAGAAAGTGTGGCTGACGGGCATGTTTTCCACCACCACCACCATATGTTGGAGGGGGGAGGGGGTCCTCCTCCTCCTCCTCCTCCTCCTCCTCCTCCTCCACCTCCTCCTCATCCTCCTCCTCCTCTCCGTCCTCCTCCTCGTCCTCCTCCTCCTTCCCCCCTCCAACGTATGGTGGTGGTGGTGGTGGTGGAAAACAAGCCCATCATGTGGTGATTCGAAGAAGCAAAAAGCACCATAAACATCAACTGTTGGTCCTTCGCACAGATTTCTTGGATCTGCGCTGGACCACCCGCCCTGGCGCGCGCAGCGCGCCAGGTGCGGCGCCGGAGGCGCCGCCGCCAGGGTAGTTCAGCGCAGATCCAAGAAATCTGCGCGGAGGATTAAAAGATTAAGTTTATTACGTTTTTCTTCTTCGAGTGGTTCCCGTCCGCACAGGGGGACAGAGCTAGCATATTCGGCGGCCTCGAAGGTGGATATCACACGTTGCCCGCGCTGGATCTCGATTCACACGTCATTGTTGCTTTCGTTGACAGTCCCCCGTGGGCTCATCTGGAACCGTGGATTCCCGAGGCCCGAGGCCAGCTTGACAGGATGCCGACGATCACGACGAAGATGTTAGATTGGCGGAAAATATCACCCGGAAGGGTATTATTACGCCTCGGCGTATCCGTGCCGACGGTCCATGTATCTGTCATGCTGTTCCTGAGCTGTCCAGGATTGGGCAGGACTTTCCAGCTGCAACAAATGAGGGCAACGACCTGGCCAAGCCCAGTGGACTTATATTGCCACCTACACCCAAGCGGCACAGGCCGGGGAGTTCGGGGCTCATGCCGTTGCCGCCATGCACGTTCCATGGGGTTCGCGGGCTTGTTTCGACTGTTCGAGTGCTGTTGCCCAAGAGAATGGACCCCTGCGTAGGTCTCTGCGCTGCAGAAGGCCATATGCAGATTTCCATCGCATGGTCGCCGATGGAGTCGTCAAAGTGAACGCCCACGTTGCGGGCTCCCTCGGGCTGGCCGACGCGCAGCGTTCTCTGCAGGGGACCGGCCGTGCGGACGCGGTGGTCCGACGCAGTCTATGTCCAGACATCCGTATCCGACTCTTCGGGGGCATCGGGAGGGCTCCCGGGATCCATCAAGACTTCACCTGCTGTCGTCGCTCTTGCTGCCGAAAGTGCGGTCCGGCTGGCCGAGGCCAGGCGCTGCTCGCGTGCCTTTTCCGTACAGCTCAGAGGCGCGAGCCCGCCACACCAACAGGCTCGCACCGCTCTTGGCTTCGCGTGTCGTCGTCCTGGCGCCGCCGATCGCGCCTCCGCGTTTCGACGGGAGCGCTTCGCCTCATGCTCGGAGGCTTCCCGCCTGCCGGCCCGCGCGTGTGCGGCAATCCTTCCCGGAGTGGCCCGGTGGCTTTTTGTCGGAGAAGAGACGCCAGTGCATCGTGCGGTTTTGTTTGGGTGCAGCTCTTTTTTGGTTGTGTGCGCGTCGACGCGCAAGGCGTACAGTGGCCTCCGTCGGGCATGCAATTGGGCTTCGGACCGGTTGCCCCCTTGAGCGGGCAAGCGCTCCGTATAAGCCCATCACTGTTGCGGTGCCTGCCGCGTGTCCCTTGGAACACGGTCTGGAGGACTGCGGGGCTTCGCGGGCACACCGTCTGGTTCTCGAGCTTCTTCGTGGCTCCTCCGTCGTGGCGGAATTGGCACAGCCCTGCGTACATCTTTGGGTGTGCCGCGTTTTTGCCATCCTTCTCCTCCTCCCGCCCATTTCCCTACCCCTCACCCTCCACCCCCTGCCCCCCCCCCCCCCCCGACACGTATCTCTCCCCATGTCCTTCCTCCATCCTCCGCTCGTCACGTCCCCCGTTGTCTCAGTGAGGGTGGCTTGGTCGCTGGCGCCTTGAAGCGAACGGGCCAACTCTGAGGCTTCGGATCGGCGTCACCGCGCTAGCAAAACATCGAGCTGCCTTGAGATCGGCCGCTCATCGTTGCCCCCGATCGTTGCCCCCTATTGTTGTCTTTGAGCGTTGCCCCCCATCGTTGCCCCCAATTGTTGCCCCCCCACCGTTGCGGACCCATCGTTGTTCTTCACCGTTGCCCACCGTCGTTGCCCCCCATCGTTGCCCCGCATCGTTGCCCCCTACCGTTGCTCCCCGCCATTGCCCTCCAGCGTGTCTCCGAATGGTTGCCTCTCCGCCTTGCCACCCCATCGCTGCCCTTCACCAGTGCCCCCGATCGTTGCCCCCCATCGCGACTGTGTAAAGCTCTTCAGGGCCTTCTGCCGCAGGAGCTTCACTTGGCGCCTCCATCTGGGGCGTCCGTCTGGCGGCCGAAGCAGCCCGTTATATGTGTCCACTGCGCGCCGCCCAGAGTCCTCGACACCGCCCCGGGTTGGAGACGGCTGGGGGCCGAGGTGGCCCAGCACCGGGACCGGCGGCAGAGGGGGGAGAAAGGGGCGCCCTCGTCGCCACGGCGGGGCGCCGTCCGAAGCCCTTGCCAGGCTCGACCCCGAGAGGTGTCCATGATGGATGTTGGGCGGGGTTGCCCTCGTCCACCCTCGTGGCCGCTTGCTCTGGGCCCACCCAGCGCAGGCCCCAGGCAGCTTCCAGGCCCCCCTTTATTTGTCCAGCAACGTTATTCCATGGCCCAGGAGCTCGGAAAGGCCTCCAGAGGCCGAGCTCGGAGAACACCTCCAGGATTGAAGCAGCCACGACGCGAGAGCTCTGGGTGCGCCGAGTGAGATCAGAGAGGGCACGTGGCACGTGTGTTTGTTTGTTTGTTTGTGTGTTTGTTTGTTTGTTTGTTTGTTTGTTTGTTTGTTTGTTTGTTTGTTTGTGCGCGTGCACGTGCGCGTGCGCGTGCGCGTGCGCGCGCGCGTGCGTGCGTGCGTGCGTGCGTGCGTGCGCGCGCGTGCATGTGTGTGTGTGTGTGTGTGTGTCTGTGTGAGTGTTTGTGTGCGTGCGTGCGTGCGTGCGTGCCTGCGTGTGCGCGTGCGTTCGTGCGTGCGTGCGTGCGGGCGGGCATGCCCCCCCCCAAGAGGCCGCCGTGTTCGCGTACGGGCAGACGGGCACTGGCAAGACGTGCCCCGGGGAGCCGACTGGGACGACGGTCCGGCAGAAGGCGACGGCGACGCCGGCGCAGACGCCGACGACGTCGGCGGCGACCACGGCGGCACGACGAGGAGAAGGCTAAGGGGGTGAGGAGGGGGACGATGAGGAGGAGGAGGACGAGGAGGAGGAGGACGAGGAGGAGGAGGAGGAGGAGGAGGAGGACTAATTAGGAAGAGGGGCAGGAGGAGGAGGACTAATTAGGAAGAGGGGCAGGAGGAGGATGAGG